ATCTCCTATATCCACTTCCATAACTCTCACTCACTCCTTGCCCATCAATTCCCCACCCCCAGTTTCCTCTGGGAGTAGGTGGTTGGGTGGGTAGACTTGTGTGTCTGTCTTGGGACTGATGTGTGCTGCCATCCCACCATCTGGTATACTCCATCCAGTTCTGCTCATTGCTAAGAGGCAGGGAGCATAGTGAGTATCCCTGCCAACTCTGTTCTTGTTCTTTCCAGTTCTCTCCTCCCAGGGGCCATCTCCATACTCCATCCTAGATGGGCACAGAAATCCAGGGCAGGTTTTCCTCAGTCATCCCAGGTTAGAAGCTGGCTTTCTGAGCCAACACTGCCTACAACATATGAATGCCTTTCTGTGCCTGCTACAAATGGATCCAGCCACCTCCTAGCAGCAGCACATCTTGGTTGTACTATGCATTCCTCCTTCCCTGCTATTCCATGACTATGCTCCTTTTCCCAGGCCTCCAGTTCCCAGGCTCCATACCGTTTTACAGAAGTGGCCAATGCCCCGGATCTTAAATGAGCCAGAGGGCTGAGCACTGTCCAGCTTGAGGTAGACTTTGGTGCCAGCCGCTTTGGAGAGGGCAATGCTTTCCCTTAGTGGTGTGGCTACATGCAGGTTCCTCTCAAAAATCATTCTGAGCACTAAGGAAAGAAAACAAGACATGTAAGTGCCTCTGAGTTTTGTGTGAGCCTGTGACAGTCTGCCTTTGCCAGGGATTTGTACTGCAGGCCACAGCTCCTTTTTAAAAACACATTGTTTCTACCCTTCCTGGCTGTGGAGAAAACTTTGAATTGATATGATGACAGCCAGCATCTGCCTTGAATTGCAGGGGTCTGAGCTACCTCATCCAGTGTCCTGCTAGCTCTGAAGCCTCATAAAGGTTGAGTTAGATCTGAACAATGATCAGACCCTGCTGGGAAGGGGCCAGGTGTTTTCTATCACCTGAGAAAGCAGCCCTAGAGGGATGGGACAGGAGAGCCTGGAACAGGGGGACTAAAGGGAAAGTGTCTCAGGGAGTGGCAGACCTGGGTAAGTAAGGTTGGTCTAATTGATGTATTATAGCTAGGAAGAGTCTTGGATGGGGCAGGATTCTTCTCTGAGCTGGAAAACAGGCTGCTACCTTAAGCCTGGATAGCATCAGCATGTTACCTACACTGGGAGAGTGGAACCCGAGGGACCAAACTCAAACCTGATGTCAACGGGGTCTGAATGTACCTGATGTAAATGGAGTCAAGCTCCCGTTTGACTCCAAGTCAGTCAGTGGATTGTATTCAAGTCCTATCATCTCTTTGCATTCTTCTGTCCTTGTTTTTAGTACCATGCAGTTGCTGTGTATGAATCCAGTTTGCCATGTCCCTGTTGAGTCTCCATCTCTCTCAAAACCCACCACTTCAGGGGGACTAGAAGCATACGCAGCAGAAAGCTGGGACTGAAACTTTTTGTGGTGGCTGGCAATAGCAGCAGCACTACAGCACCACCATCCTGCAGTGCCCAGCACCACTTGGCAGGCAGCTGCTCCTCTGCCACTGCATAGAGCACCAGTGCACATCAGCTCTATGGGAGGGAGGGGCAGGGGTCACCCCAAATAATATTTTCCCCCACTGCTTATGACTAGAAGCCCAACATTCCCCTCAGAGGAGTAAGAAGTAGCATCCTAAAGATAGTCAGACGCCTGTGAATGTTATCAGAAGTTATCAGCAGAAAAACTGGTTAGACCTCCAGTACCAAAAGATCCCCCCAGGCTGCTACATGTGACTTCCAGTAGCAAACAGCCATCAGGGCTTTATATCCTTGATATAGACCAGCCACTAGAAGGTGGCCATAGCATGCTTGGCTGGCACGTTGTACATGGTTATCATGACCTACTTAATCATTTCTCCTCCTGTCTGCTTGTTTGTCCATCCATCTGGAAAGTAAACTTTTTGAGGAGGTTAGAGTGACTACTGTATTTGAGTTACTATTGTCTATGAAATCCTTAGCAGGCAGAGAAAAGGTACCTCAACAGATCTGAACTTACAGTTGGAAAAAAAAATCCTGTTGTTCTAATTGTTTTTTCTGCAAAATGCTAGGAAAGTCCAAAATAAACTAAGACTATTGTATTTCCTCCCCCCCTGCTTTTTCACACTCCAAAGGGTGGGAATACGAGACTGTTTTACACTGGATATCAGGACACTCTGTGTCAGCGTTAGAGCAGCGAGGCGGTGGAACAAAGTGCCTAGGGAGGCTGTGGAATCTCCTTCACTGGAGGCTTTCAAGAGGAGGTTGGATAAGCTTTGGTCATGGATGATCTAGGAGTAGCAATGCCAGGAATGTGCTATGAAGGGCCCAAGAAACCATCACAAAAAAAAAGAGACTGGAAACATATGTTTTAAAAAAACTAGAAAAAATAAACATGAATAACCATAATAAATGTGATGCTTGAGCCTAGTGCCGCCTGGGTTGAGAACTGCTTTAGAAAGATGCTCTTATAGCTTCCGTCACTGCGGGGTCTGAACACCCTTCATCTGTAATGTACTTATCCCTGGAGCAATTTTGAGGCACTGAGACTAAGGGTCATATTCCATGTCACTCTGAAGATCTCTTATGCCACTCAGGGCTTTAAGGGTGAGGTCTAGACATTAGATGTTTTTCAATGCAAAAGAGATTCCTTGAATGAGGGCTTTGTACAAAAACATCAAATGTACAAGTTTCCCACCTTAGCAAAAGCTGCTCTTTCATCACATTGCCTAAAAAGGAAAGGGAGAGGGAGGGTGGGGAGGAAAGTAAAAGTGAAAGGGCAGCCCTGGGGGTGGGGGAGGTGAAGGGAGGAAAGGGGTGGTTCACTGCAGGGCGCAGCCCAGCCATGGGTAGAGTCCAGCTGGCCAGCATGGTGCAGTGCAGTGCAGCAAGGCCCAGTAGCAGCTTCCACCAACTTGCCCCAGACACCTCCTGCCTCACTCTTACTTTCAGCCTGGGCTATGACCTGTTCTGGGAAAGGAGGGGCGAGGGGCGAGTGCCTCCCCTGAACCCTGTGTGCACTGCACCTCTCTAATGAATTGCATTTCCTGGGGGGTTAATTCTGGCTCCTTAGACACATGCACACACTCTAGAAAGACACTGCTGCTAAGCGAGTGATGTCCCCTTTGTGGGGTGTCCAAGTTCTTTGGGTCCTTA